TATTGTATAATTTTCCATTTGTATTGTATAATTTTTCATTTGTATTGTATAATTTTCATTTGAATTGTACAATTTTCCATTTGTATTCTATATTTTCCATTTGTATTTATAATTTTTCATTTGCTTTGTATCCGAGGGATTGTTTATTTTTGTTTGTTACAAAGGATTTCATCGGTTTAATCTAATCATAGATCGGATTTGGTAATACCCGAGATATATGTTCCAGGTAGTTTACACGTGTTATCCAGTCTGAGCATAGACTAGCTTGCCTGTCTGATCCTAGATATACAGACAGGTGACCAGTAATGTAAAGGGCGCGCTCATTAATCAATTATAACGACCGATGTCTCTGCACTCTGTCGCATAGGCGTCGGAAATAGGGGGGGGGGGTTAGCCCCCTTTTTTTCAAAAGTAGACATTATATAGGCATTGAAAATTGGGATTTACCTTTTCTTGGCTCAAACTTGGTTTAGCCCCCCACCCCACCCCACTTTCGGTTAGCCCCCCCCCCCCTCATACTTTCAATTTGCTTCCGCGACGCCCATACTGTGATCTATTTTTGTTTCCCCGAGACGGAAACCAAAACAGAACACAGCATGGGCATCGGAAGCAAATTGAAAGTGGGGGAAGGGCTAATCGAAAGAGGGGGGGGCTAAACCAACCAAAAAAGGTAAAAAGGCACTCTTATAGGCGTCGGAACCGGGGGGGGGCTTCGTAACAATCCAAAATAAACAATCCCTCGGATATAATGCAAATGAAAAATTATACAATTCCAATGGAAAATATAGAATACAAATAAAAAAATTATACAATAAAAATAAATTTTTTTTACAATATAATTGAATAATTATACAATGCAAATGAAAAATTATACGATGCAAATGGAAAATATAGAATACACATGAAAAATTATAGAATACAAATGAAAAATTATAGAATACAAATAGGAAATTATAGAATACAAATAAAAATTATACAATACAAATGAAAAATTATACAATACAAATGGAAAATTATACAATACAAATAAACATTATACAATACAAATGGAAAATTTTACAATACAAATGGAAAAAAATCGAACATTGCAACGTTTGATTTGCCATACATGCAGACTTTGGCCTGAAAAGTTGAAATTTCTTTAATATACATTCAATTTTCAGTGAGAAGCAAGTCTTGCATTAAAATACCGAATGATCTTAATATTCAAAGCAAGCTTTTGAGTAGCAAGTAAGCTGCGAGACATAACCACCATAGTAAGGAATATTGTAAATCAATGAATAAGGAAACGTAACGATCGATGGAAAAGTCAACGTCGTATCGCTCGCCATGCAGTTTAGTTCTTTACTGGCTTTTATGGTTTTATAGTCAGTAAAACACCCTAAATGATATAGACGTGGCAGACTCTGTGTTGTCTTTTATTTCAAGTTCACTTGTTTATGTTACATTAAATATTTGAAATCAGGAATTTCATGTATTTCCTAAAGCATCCAGTAAATACATGTGAAACGGTATCTTTTAGTATTCTTCTGATTTTATTGTTACGCAATGTTTTTTGTTTTTGTTTTTTTACATGTTATTGCTCCGCGTGAGCAATGTCGTTACATAACTGACCCCGTTAAAAAATGCTCCTCATGAACAATGCATATTATGTATACATGTAGGGAAATGATGTGCACTCCGGTCAGTGATTTCATTATTTCTTATTTGTGAAACTTTGGATTTTATTGTGATGTAAATAAACTGTAAATAATTTTATTTTGCGTTTCATTTAACCTAAAGTGTGTGCTTTAGAGGCTGGATAATTGTAGTCACATGGATTATTAATAAGACTGGAGTTATCTCACACTTGGATTATTTGAATAGAGCCGTTTACCGCTAGACGGCGCTACACAAGTATTTACTAGCTGTTTTGGGAAATACATTTAACTACTAAATAGCTTGGAAATTCATGTATTTACTAAAACTTTTATCCAATTTTACACGTTTTACTGAACTAAGCTTGGTGACTATTCATATACTTTAAAAAATCCCGTAAGTGAACAAATACTAGTATGAATGCTTTTGAAGTGGCAAATAATAATAATTGTTTCTACAAAGCTGACGTTATACATTAATTTCCAATTCTGGGCAAGATTCGGGCAATCGGTGCACTGTATTTTTAAAACTCCGTTTAAGGTTCAGAAACCCTACTTTAAATTCCTTATTTTTCGCGAGTACTTATTATCGCGACATAGCACATGAACGTCGAATCGCGGGAATAGTTATTCGCGAATGGACGATTTAACAGAAAAATGTACATGGAATTTAGCATTATAAAAATAAAAGCGAGTAACTTAATTTCGCGTTTAATGCTATTCGCGAAATTTCGCGATAATTAATTTCTCGCTAATAATTAGAAATCTACGGTATACTCATTCAAATTAAATATTGCTTTAACTCTTATGATTTTCCAAAAGGAAATGTATTTTATAAGTAAAATACAGACAATTAGATCATAGCTTGGAGGGCAAAAAAGACATTTCAATTTGACAAATCTATAACGGAATAATATACATTTATGTCATTAAGAGTCATCTCTCTTTTCAGGCTATCCATGATCCTTAAGAAGAAATCCCTTAAGGTACTTCCATCCTGCTCTGTGATGGCATGTTTTACAGAAACTTTTATTACTTTAAATTCACACCCAATAGAAAAAAATATCTTTTGGAAGAATGCTTTCCACGTGCGTTGAAAAAATAAAATTAAGTAATTCTACAAGCAGCAGATTGTGAATGAAATCCAGGTCCTAGAACTCCAAAATACCCATGTATGGTTTGCACTAAAGCACTCCGCTGGAATCAACAGGCAATAGCATGTGGCAGTTGTGAATGTTGGTACCAAATTAAATGCATAGACATGGGTAGCCACATGTACCAAGCCTTTGCAAAGCCAGACGTTTCATGGTTTTGCTGTCAGTGCGGCCTTCCAAATTTTAGTATTTCCTTTTATGAGTCTACAGACATATCAACTTCTAATTTCTATGATTTATTATGTGACACTTCTATTTCCTGAGTGTATAGCGCCATGGTCAAACCTGTCAATGCATCAATCTCCAAAATGTCACTATAATATACCAAAAGCTAAAGCAGAGTCAATGAAAATACTTACAATTAATTTGCAAAATTTAAAGGCCAAAGGTGAGGTATTCTGGAATCTTCTGGATTCATGCCAACCAGACATTGTTTGGGATGTGAGAGTTGGTTAAAGCCAAATATCACAAACCAAGATATTGTCCCAACCGGATATGAAGTCTACCCAATCGACAAAGCGGATGGATATGGCGGGGTACTAATAGCTATTAAGTCAAATTACATAAGTAGTCAAGTGGATTTTGACTTCCACAGTGAGCTTGTGGCTGTGCAAATTGAAGGGACAAACAAATCATCCACTGTGGTTGCTTCATTATACCAACAACCAAAAAGAGATTTCTCCCATAATCAAATAATCTGCAGAGACATCAGACGGATAACAGATTTATACAAATCCTCAACATTATAGATAGGTGGAAATGCAAGCCTACCAGATATTAACTAGGAAAGCGACACAATCACTACGCCAGTTTTGGAGGGCGCTAAATTCACATCTAAGATTAACAAAATAAGCAATCATGAATAAATAAAAATTACAGAATGTAAATATAAGCATTGATTTCATATTTCGGATGTCTACGGTCCTATAACTCACCTGTTTTTAATTTGTCGGCACAGCCAGATGTGTTATATGACCAAAGAGATTAAAAAATATGAATTCAATGCTTAAATATACGGGGATAATCGTGTATAGGAATATTAAATCTCTCACAATTCAGAGCAAACACTTATTCCCAGAACAATAAGATGTGGGATGAGTGCCATGGAGGAATCAGAATACCTCCTTGTCACGATCACATAAATAAAAAAAGTCCGTACACAATTCATGACCTAAGAATATAATACCATGATCAAAACATTTCCCTATATGAAACTAAAAAAAAAACAAATAGCAATATTTCCATACACCCGCAGTCATAAACGTAAGACGTATTACATTTTTTTTCATCTTACAAAGATATTTTATATAGTGAAATATATGGAGTTAACGAACAATATTAAAGCTCAACAATACAAAATAGGAGCGGAGCAAACACAGACCTCGTAAACGTCAGAGTTAGGACCAGGTGCTAGGAGGAGTTGGAGTGAGCTTTGTATAAAAGATGCAACAAAGTCTGAAACATCTGTTTTATATTTGGATACTAGTATTTTATCTTGAAAAAGACGTTAATGATATCACACAATCAAGCTAAGCTTAATGGTAAATGTGATAAGTTAACTTTTCAGTTGTCAACTTTATCTACTTATGCAGCTATATAGATTTATTGAGATGGAGGTCAACATGCATTTTGTTGGACCCAAGAAGCAAATCGTTTGCCTGAGATCGTTAGACCGAAGGCAGACAGTTTGGTTCGAAGGTCAACAATTGTCAATTTACCAGAGAAGATAGTCAATAAATGTTCTGTTATACCGTTCATTAATATTTTTTTACATATATAACTTTGCCTTCCGTGCTGTAATCCCAGATCTGTTACTGGTGTTTTGAGTTTTTGGATAAATAGTGAAAAAAAAAATGAGCGAGAGACAATTAACGACTTTCTTTTTGTTAAAATAAAAATCCAAATTTATTTTCATTGAACTAAAACAAAAAGAAAAAAAGCTTTTAAAGACTAAGATCTAAATCTTCTATTACATACAACTGATCCGAGAGAGAGAGAGAGAGAGAGAGAGAGAGAGAGAGAGAGAGAGAGAGAGAGAGAGAAGAGAGAAGTTTTACTGAAAACTCTACTGCTTTGAAAGCTCAACGTCAATATGTGTATTGCTATTTGGATATGAATGAAATTATTTACATGATATAATAAAAAGACATGCGCATTGCTTCGAAAACAACAACTTTAATTTTAAGTGTAGAAGAAATTAACAATACATGACGAACTATAAGTGCGCATATTTCTCTACTTAGTCATGACGTGAAAAAGAAACAATCCATTCTAGCCCCGCCACTTCCTTATTTGTGTCTGTTCAACACGATAACATGTTTAAAATCATACGTTTTCATTTTGTTTCCTAGGTATGTATTTTCATTAACTTTACCTTTTATTTCTCCTTCTACTTTGGATCTATCTAACTCTGTAAATTTTTATATTAAATTGATTGATTGCTCTTTTATGTTTCAGTTTCTAAAATATTCTGCTCATGGAACCCATGTCCGGAGAATGAGCAGTCATATATGTTTGAAGTAAAAAGAGGCAATTGGAATGAGGCTGCCAGGAAATGTGAAAAAGCCGGAGGAGGTCTGGCCACGGTCATCAGCGAAAACTGTACACTCAGTGAGTACAAATCCAATATTTAAAACAAAAACGTAGAGATGAAACAGCATGTGATTGTAGATATCTTTTTCTAGGGAATCTAACAGAAAGGTTTACCTACTTCATTGGAGGTAAGAAGTCATCCTCTGGGAAATGGACATGGGTAGATGGTACTCAGATGAACCAAACACATTGGGCTTCAGGTTAATTTTTTCATGTTGTATGGAACATATTTTTCAATACCATATATATGTTTAAAATATTTTTGATATTCCCAATAATCAAAATGAATTTTGAATTCTACCAATATTACATTTTGGATTCAAATTGATAAATTGAAGAAGACAAAACCTGGACCTCCAAAACATAAAAAGGCAGCATCTATAGAGCTATGAATTTTTCTCATTACAATATCCATGATGTTTTAAAGAATCTCTAAAACATAGGTGAGGATGAAAGAGTAAATTTGAGTTTTGAGCAAATCGATGAATTTAATTAACGCTTCTTTTGGAAAACCTTTCTATAGATTTGGGTGCTTGAATCAAAAGGCATAAATACTTGTCCAAGTTCTTATTTTTATTAAATATTATTTTTTTAAAAAAATCATGCATCCTTTATCTTTATCTCCCTAACATTCAACTAAGATTGAGAAAAGATTACGAAGATTGTAAAATCTCCGTTCATTTTGTAAACAAGGAAACAAGATTGAATACATTAACATGTTTTGTAATTACACTTAAAATCACTTCCTTGGTTTATCTGCTGACATTAGGATAGTGTTGAAACAACTAAATATTATGGATACAATATACCAGACATCGGTATTTTGCAGGTTAATATTCTGCTAGTCTTTATGAATACAGTCATTTAAAAAATAACAACTACTAAAATACTTGTTTCTTATCATTACAAAAACTGTTATGATCTTGTATTACATTTGACTACGAAATATTCCGTCTATTTTAGTAATAAATATGGATCACTGCCGATGTTGCCTGGCTACAGGGGATGTTTACAAAAACAATTGGAAGTTTACTCTTTTTAATTACCGTATAAATGGTTATTTTAGCGAGACACAAATTTAGCAATTTGTATTTTAATTTATGTATTCAAATGCTTGGGAGGCTCACCAAAGTTAGGTTTGCTAAAGATTAAGTCTCAAGAATTTACAAAAATCAACAACTTAAAAACTTACGACTTTTATACTTTATACACAACAATTCCCCACGAGAAATTAAAATCCAGGCTTTTTGATATCATTGACAGCTGCTTCTTTAATAAAAATGGAACTCGTAAATTTACTTACCTCGTCATTGGTCATTTGCAAAATTATTTTGTTAAAACAGATTCTGATTGCACACATAAGTACTCTGAAGTTGAAATAAAGAAGATGCTTGAGTTTCTGATAGACAATATATATGTTGTTTTTGGAGACCAGGTATTCCAACAATCTATTGGAATTCCCATGGGAACAAATTGCGGTTTTAGCAGACTTGTTTTTATATTCATATGAAGCAGAATTTATGCAAAATCTTATGCGTGAAAAGAAGAAAACACTTGCTGTGGCCTTCAACTCGACAGTTTGATATATCGAGGACGTATTGTCAATTAATAATGGTAATTTCCATTCCTACGTTGATATGATATATCCTGGTGAGCTTGAGATAAAAGATACCACAGAGTCCGACACTTCTGTTTCATACTTGAAAAAGACACTAATGGTAATTTAACAACCAAGCTATATGATAAACGTGATGACTTTAACTTTTTATCATCAACTTCCCTTACTTATGTAGCAATATACCTTCATCACCTGCATACGGAGTATATATATCTCAGCTGATTCGATACGCAAGAGCATGCTCTACGTATGAACAATTTCTTAAACGAGGTAAATTATTTACAAGCAAGTTGATGAAACAAGAATATCAACAGTCTCATTTAAAGTCATCATTCCGTAAGTTCTTTGGTCGATACAATGACGTTGTCAGCAAATACAATTTATCATTGAGTCAAATGCTGACTGGCGCTTTTCATACCATGTTTTGGTCCATTATTTATACACTGAATTGACGACGGATTTTTTCCCGTTATTTCCTGATCATGACAAGGAGCACACGGCGGATGTGACCGGTCGGAAGGGGATACTAACTCCTCCATGGCACCTGATCCCACCTCTGATGTTTCGGGGGTTCGTGTTTGCTCTGCTCTTATTTTGTATTGTTTTATGGACTCTGAAATTGAATACTGTTTGTTATCTCCATATGCTTCTCAAACACATTCACAGAGACGAATTTATTTAAATGACGATATAAAAGAAAATACTTTATACAAAAGAATTGGGATCAGATTCACAAGCTCCGACTGAAATTATTACGTAAAGTATGAAAAATGTCTGATCCCCCCAGAAATGACTAGAAAAAATTCCCCCCCAAAAAACAAAAAGATCAAACATTTAAAGAAAAATATAGCAAAAAGATGGCACATCAAAACAAAAGGGGCCACAAAATGTGATAAGCTTGCTATTCGCCTGCTATGTCTCTTACGTAAACTATATATATACACATGTAATTACAACGTATTTAATACATAAAAAGCGGATTTAATACATAAATTCAATTATAATCATAACTGCTGTTTTTAGGAAGATGTACTTTTAGCGAATTCAAAATGCTCATTAAATAAGGTATTGCAAATAAAACGCAATTAATTTTTAGTTTTTTCAATTTAAGCGATCTCAGCACCCTTGGTAATAATGCCAAAATTAAATCGTCACTAGAAACTCTGCTTATACGTAATCTTATAATAATTTTAAGAGCAAGTATTTGCATCATTACAGAAGATAATAATTTGCAATGCTGGAGATCACTGAATTTCTGCGACTTCTTATTTTCACGAGCAAGTCATTAACTCCTTATAAGCGAGACAAAATTTTCATGAATTGCGGTTATTGCTCTCTTTCTGTATACCTTCATAATATAAGCGAGAATAATGTTTTCATAAGCACATTGTCTCACGTAATTACGCAAAAATAAAAATCTTGCGAACAAAATGTGATTTACAGTATTATTGGATTTTCCTTTATGGTTGACATGATATTTAATAATGGAAAAATGAAGTCCTTAGGGACTTCTTCAACTACTCATGCTATATAATTGATCTAAATACTTCTTTTTATATTTTGAGCATACATATTTTCAATAAAAAATATATCCTAAAAGGAGGTCATCAAAAATACCATGAACGGTCATATATACGTTTCGCATTTTGTATTTCTGCCAATACTGGATCCCGACTTCATTAAATCGTTACAAACAAAGTTGTATCCAGCAGATGCTTTATCAAGCCCATATCTTTGCTCCTTCCAAACCAACTGTAAAGGAGAAACTTTAGACATATTGTGTTGTGCATTTATTATGCTTATTATAGAAGTACCGGTATTGTTGTTCGTGTAAAACTCCTGTCACACTGCTCTGCTCCTATTTTGTATTGTTTTATGGACTTTGAGATTGAATACTGTTCGTTATCTCCATATCCTTCATATACTGTTACTATATTATAAGTAGGCTACTACTTTTAAACGTGCATGTATTTACATGTTAACGAATCTGTAATACAGGCGATATATGCAATAATTGGAATACCTTAGTTACCTTAGTTAAATATTTTACTCTTTTTTGTCCCTTAAAGGACAAGGTAGGGTAACAGTCAAATCTGGCCCTTATTTGATGTAAAAATCAAATAAAATTGTCATGGTTTGTAGTTAAGAACTTAAACTGATGCTTGCGTTAAAGAAATTCATATTTGAGATACGTTCTCTCCAGAATACATAGAGCACAAGCTTGTCTATTTGAGATTTTAAAACACAAACTGCATCTTATGCTAGATAAAAGAATATATAAATTTGGTAGATAGGCAAGCTTGTGCTCTATGTTTTCCGAAACAAAATGTGCTGTAAAATGGTTGGAAAACTGCACAAAAATAAGAAAATAAAAAATTGACCTATTTTCCGCCCTCCCTGTGTCCTCTGTGCATTCTAAAACTTAAAACCAATACTCATTTTTGGCAGGAATGACAACAGATTCTTGAAACTGTTGAATCAATTTACAAGGCACCCAAAATCAGGGGCCAAAAGGTATCTTATCCTGTCTTGTTATTTCATTATGTATAAAATAATTTTTAAAAAACTCCATACCTATACACAAAAAGACTTTAAAAAATCATAAAAATGACACAATTCAAACGATACAATTTCATTTAATCGTTAACCTAGAAAATAGATATATTCTTTATCTAACCCATGGCATTAAGTACTTAAGCTACATCTCATATGATATATTGTACAAAAATCTTAGGGAAAATAAAGAAAGAAATCAAAGATTTTGACAACATTAATCGATTTGAACGCCCTGATTTTTTTTAATACGATGTGCATGAAACCAAAGCACAACGCAGACGCTAAACAAGGAAAAACTGGTAAAGACCTAACAATTTATCATAGATATCTTATGCAATTTATTCATCAAAATATTTATTTTATCAGGCGAGCCAAATAACCATGGAGGAAATGAAAATTGTTTACAAATGCAGTATACAAATAAGAATTATCAATGGAATGACATCTCATGTGACAGCAACAATAATCACGGATATATTTGTCAGAGTGAGTGCCGAAACTTTATACATGTACCATGTATACATATAAAAATTTATCATAAAAACGATTAAATATATTTGATAAATGACTAACTATTAAATAAGTGCTTGATTTAAGCTATTTAGACTTTGTTGACTGAATATAACGAATAAAATCTGTTTAAAACTTCTTTTTATTACACAATATATACATTTGTGGTATCTTTCCACTATATAAACATACGAAGAGAAAATATCTTCAATTCTGTATGAAGTTTGTCAGAGGTCAAAGGTCAAATAAATACATGGCCGAATCACACGGCGCAATAGTATCTACCGTTACTTATAAATGTAAAATGACTTGCTTTTCATGTATAAAACAATAAGCTAAATAAGCAAGTGAAATAATTGTTTTATTTACAACGTGAACAAATACTTCATACATTTTTTGGCGATAGATTTAACCTGTGTACATAGAGAATATACCGAATGTCCGATAGAAACTAGCCTTTGTTTACAAGTTGTAGGCCTATGTCACTTTTGTCAGCTGCACAGTCTCTAAATTT